GTTGGACCCCCAAAGGTTGAGGTTGCAAGGTTGGACCCCCAAAGGTTAAGGCGGTTAAGGTTCCAAGGTTGGACCCCCAAAGGTTGAGGTTCCAAGGTTGGACACCCAAAGGTTGAAGCTCCAAGGTTGGACTCCCAAGTTGAAACTTGAAACGTAAACGTTTCAACCTAGGTCTGCGCTCGTGCGGGGGCATGTTGGTACTTGCTTGCAGAAGGGGTCCAAAAGCTAAAAAAATAGAGAAATTATGTGGGTCCATTGCCTGGGGCTTACACAGACGTTGTCTCCTGCCTCTAGACCGGTCGCTTGGAAAAAATAAGTTCTTGCACACGCGCGTTCCGTCTGCAAATGTTAGACAACGTCTTGCAATACGTTCTGCTGGCACACCGTACTTTGAAGACATGTCAGGAATGCAAACGCTAAAAACGTCTTGCAAAGATGTGTGCTTGCAACATAAAGGCATACCAACAAGTATACCAAATTTTTGCGAGGCGCAAGATTTGTTTGGGTGAGGTACAGCGGTTATTGACTTAGAGCAGAAACTTGTGTAGGAATTGAGCTGAAGCTTATGTTGGTATTGGGTCTGGGGGAAAAAAACTCCCGGCCCGACAGGGGTTTTACTTAATCTAAAACCCTAAACCCTAAACCCTAAACGACGTTTTGCAAACGTCGAATGGCTGAGGAGTGTGACACGACACAGCCTGACACTTAACGTTTAGTGACACGACACGTTCATGTCAACTTTCTCTTAGACGGACCTAGGCTACTGATACTGAGTAACCCCAAACCCATGGTGACGATCCGAGGAATCCCTACTGGAAGCCGCTTGCGCCGACATCTTTGAAGGCCAACGGATCTTTCTCACCAAGAACCTCGACAAAGAGAACGGGTTCGTGAATGGAATGCCGGCGGTCATCGAAGGGTACGATCCGCGCAGCAAATGCCTTCACGTGGTCACCAAGCTGAACAAGTCCTTGGCTGTGCATCTCTACACGGAGGACGTGGAGGGGCACGGGCGAGTTACCTATTTCCCCGTGCGCATGGGCTACGCAGGAACGGTGCAGAAGATCCAAGGGACCACCTTGCCCCATGTGACGGTCTGGCTGGACAGGGCCGCCTGCAAGGCGGCCGCCTACGTGGCACTGTCGCGGGTGCAGCGCGACGAGGACTACGCAGTGGCCGGGAAGGTCCACCCGAAGCACTTCGTGCCGGCGCAATGACGCGCGCGTAAACCCTGCCAGGCCATTTCAGCGGCAGCACCTGCCCAGCCGGACACGCGCCTTTCTGGCCGACGGCTACGCGCGGTCGAGCGCCCATCCCTTTCAAGTGTCGTGCTGGCAGCTCCTGCGCGCCCGCAATCGAGCGCCCGTTTTGTTTTCAAGTTCCTCGGATAAAAAAAAGTCTGGCGGCTATATGTTTCCTGGCGTGCTCTTCCACTCTTCTGCTTGGTATAAAAAACGTTTTGACCCTTTGCTACACCCTTGGCGCCCCGCCTCCACGACCGTCCCCGCCGCCGCCTCGCAGACACTCGCTCTGCGCTTGGGACCCCCAGCTCTGTGCGCCAACCGGTCATCCAAGCCCGTTGCTTGCATCCGTTGTTCCATCCGGTGTTCATCCGTTGTTCCATCCCACCGAGCCGAGCACTTGCCA